TCAAGAGTATAGTGTACAGGGTGTCCCATTTTCGATACTTATAGGGTAGGCGTCATGTACTCTTTTTTGAGTCAAATTTAAAATGGCAAAATCAAAATTTGAACATATCAGCCCGCTTACGAGATACGAGGTAAAATCAAAAAATTGTCCATTTTTAGTTTATTAAAAAAGTTTTGTTGTAATGATTGTTGAATATTTGCCGTTTTCAAAATAAGTATACGGGGATTTATCTTACCTAACCCCATTTTTTTGGAACACTGTATATTTTATTCTAAAATATAACGCACTAAAGGTATTGCAAAGATTCAAAACAATTCAAAAAGAATTAAAAAATTTAAAAAAGGTTCAAGTAAATTAAAAAGGATACAAAAAATTTCAAAAAGGTTTATGAATTTTAAAATTTTTAAAAAATTCTTTGTTACATTAAAAAAAATGTTATCTTTTTAGACTAAAATATACCGAGTGTTCTATTAAAAAAAATGATTTGATTTTACAAACTTTTCTATATATTCACGAGAGTTAGAGTGTACAGGGTGTCCCATTTTCGACACTATTATAGAGCGTCATGTTATGTGCTCTTTTTGAGTCAAATTTAAAGTGGCAACATCAAAATTTGAAAATATTTGCTTGTTTAAGAGATAAGTACGGGGCAAAATCAGAAAATTGTCAATTTTAAAATGACCCTATATTTTCTTAAAATGTTTATTCAAAAAGTTTTTTATCATTGTTGAATAATTTGCCGTTTTTAATATAAGTATACAGGGTCAGCTAAGGACTTGACCTCATTGTTTAATGGTACGCCCTGTATATCTTGTTCTAAAACATATATTAAATTCTCTCTTCGAAAGTATAGCACCCTAAGGATGGTGTGCAAAAAAGATACAACTGATTCAAAAAGATGAAAAACAGAATTAAAAAATTTAGAAAAGGTTCAATGATCCAAAAAAAAAGATTAAAACAGAATCAAATATATTGAAAAATGGTTCAAACGATTCTAAAAAATCAAAAATTGGATTTAAAATTCTTTTACAAATTTGTTTGAATGACCAATGATTTTTTTGAATTTCTATTTAAACAAATGAGGGTAGCTTTTTTTATCCCACCCCCGTATACCTATTTTGAAAACGACAGATTCTTTAACAATCATTACAAAGAAACTTTTCTAATCAACATTTTTTATAATTTTTTGAATCAATATTGATTTTTTGGGATTGTTTTTAGTGTTTCAAAGGAGAATTTAATATATCTTTTTTGAATAAAATATTCAGGGTGTCCTATTTTTAAAAAATTGAGGTTAGGTTCGATAACTTTTTTATCTGACCCTCTATACTTATTTTGAAAACGGCAGATTATTCAAAATAATTATAAAGAAACTTTTCTGTATTTTTTTAACTAAGAAAATATAGGGTCATTTTGAAATTGACATTTTTTTAAATTTTTCCGTGCGAGCGAGAGTGCGCCAGCGAAAAACCAAGCGAAGTTCTTTATTTTTCCATACAGGGTGTTAATTAACGTTATGCAGATATTTCAGGGGGTGATAGTACTCGTCAAAATAAAAAAAGGAATATAAATATATGCATGATCTAAAGGGGTCGTTATTTGGGGGGGGGGGGGCGAATTTTACATTTTCCCTCGTTTTTTTGCGTTTTATTTATGTTCTGTGATAATTGTTTCAAATTTGATACATCAATTCTTTTTTAGAATCTCTAGTAGTTGGTCGCAGTATACAGGGTGTTACATTTTCTTTCCCGCCCTGTATAACAAAAACGACACATTTTAGATCGTGAACGTTAATTAACGCCCTGTATATTGATAAGAGTAGAGTGTACAGGGTATCTCCGTAATTGTTAGGGCTACTAAAAAAGTAATACAGTGGTCATGTGCTCTTTCTGAGCCCAACTTAAAAATTGCAGAATTACAATTTGAGCATATTCGCTCGCTTAAGAGATACGGGGGAAAATAAAAAAAATGTGAACTGTAGAATGGCGATATAGTATTTTAGATACGCATACAAAATATGTTTATTAAAAAAGTTTAGGATTGTTGCATAATCTGATTTTTTTCATATAAGTATACGGGGTCAGCTAAAAAAGTTATCGGACTTAACCTTATTTCTTAAATGGAACACCCTGTATATTTTTTTCGAAAAAGATAGCATATTAAATTCTCTTTTCAAAAGTATACTACAGTAAGGATGATATGCGAAAAAGATATACGATTCAAAAAAAATTTAAAAATGTAAAAAAATTCAAATGGATCGAAAAAGTTTTTTGGATTTGATTTTTAAAGATCTTTTTTACGTTTTTTTGAACTCATTATTTTTTTAAATTTTTTAGTGTTATATGTTTGAAAAGAGACGATATATTTTTTATTAAAATGTTCAGGGTGTTCTATTTAAAAAAATGAGGTTAGGTTCGACAATTTTTTTGCCTGACCCCGTATATCCCTGAAAACGGCAGATTATTCAAAATCATTATAAAGAAACTTTTCTGTATTTTTTTAATTAAGAAAATATAGGGTCATTTTGAAATTGACATTTTTTTTGTTTTTCCGTGCGAACGAGAGTGCGCCAGCGAAAAACCAAGCGAACTTCTTTATTTTTCCATACAGGGTGTTAATTAACGTCATGCAGATATTTCAGGGGGTGATAGTACTCGTCAAAATAAAAAAGAAATACAAATATATGCATGATCTAAAGGGATCGTTATATATTGGGGGGGGGGGGGCGATGTTTACATTTCGTTTTCTTTATGTTCTCTGGTAATTGTTTCACATTTTTAGAATCTCTACATTAAAGTATCAAAGTAGTTGATCGCAGTATACGGGGTGTTACATTTTCTTTCCCATCCTGTATAACAAAAACGACGCATTTTAGATCGTGAATATATGTCTATTTTTTTCTTATTTTAACGAGTACTATCTCACCCTGAAATATCTGCGTGACATTTATTTACACTCTGTATATTGATAACAGTAGAGTGTACAGGGTATCTCCGTAATTGTTAGGGGGTCATGTGCTCTTTCTGAGCCAAACTTAAAATTGCAGAATTACATTATATAAGAGATACCACCCTTTTACTGCATAATCTGATCTTTTTCATGTAAGTATACGGGGTCAGCTAAAAAAGTTATCGGACTTAACCTTATTTCTTAAATGAAACACCCTGTATATTTTATTATAAAAAGATAGCATATTAAATTCTTTTTTCAAAAGTATACCACAGTAAGGGTGATATGCAAAAAAGATGTGATTAAAAAAAATTTAAAAAAGATTCAAAAAAAGTTAAAAATGTAAACAAAAATGCAAATGACTCGAAAAAGTTTTTTGGATTTGATTTTTAATGACCTTTTTTAAGTTTTTTTGAAGTAATATTGATTTTTTTAAATTTTCTAGTGTTATATGTTTGAAAAGAGACGATATATTTTTTATTAAAATGTTCAGGGGTGTTCTATTTAAAAAATTGAGGTTAGGTTCGATAACTTTTTTATCTGACCCCCTATACTTTATTTTGAAAACAGCAGATTATTCAAAATCATTATAAAGAAACTTTTCTGTATTTTTTTAACTAAGAAAATATAGGGCCATTTTGAAATTGACATTTTTTTTATTTTTCCGTGGGGATCGTTACATATGCGGGGAGGGGGGGGGGGGGAAGTTTACATTTTTTTCTTTATGTTCTCTGGTAATTGTTTCACATTTTTAGAATCTCTACAATAAAGTATCAAAGTAGTTGGTCGCAGTATACGGGGTGTTACATTTTCTTTCCCATCCTGTATAACAAAAACGACGCATTTTAGATCGTGAATATATGTCTATTTTTTTCTTATTTTAACGAGTACTATCTCACCCTGAAATATCTGCGTGACATTTATTTACACTCTGTATATTGATAACAGTAGAGTGTACAGGGTATCTCCGTAATTGTTAGGGGGTCATGTGCTCTTTCTGAGCCAAAATTAAAATTGCAGAATTACACTTTGAACATATTCGCTCGCTTAAGAGATACGGGGGAAAATAAAAAAATGTGAACTGTAGAATGGCGATATAGTTTCTTAGATACGCATACAGAAAAATGTTTATTAGAAAAGTTGCATAATCTGATCTTTTTGATATAAGTATACGGGGTCAGCTAAAAAAGTTATCGGACTTAACCTTATTTCTTAAATGAAACACCCTGTATATTTTATTATAAAAAGATAGCATATTAAATTCTTTTTTCAAAAGTATACCACAGTAAGGGTGATATGCAAAAAAGATATGTGATTTAAAAAATTCAAAAAAGATTCAAAAAAATTTTAAAAATGTAAAAAAAATTCAAATGACTCGAAAAAGTTTTTTGGATTTGATTTTTAAAGATCTTTTTTCAATTTTTTTGAATTGATATTGATTTTTTAAATTTTCTAGTGTTACTTTTCTGCCTGACCCCGTATACCCCCGTGTTTTGAAAACGGCCGATTATTCAACATTAGAAAGACACTTTTCTATAAAAATCTTTTTTAAATATAGTCATTCTGAAATTGACAATTTTTTGATTATCCCCCGTATCCTCGCCCGTATCCCTTAAGCGGGCGAATATTTTCAACTTCTTTTTTTTTAAATTGTACACCTAAAATCGTTTGATTTTAGAATCAAGATACCTGGTGATTTTACGATTGTTACAGTGAAGCAATCAAATTCATCCGTTAAAAACGGTTGACCAGAAATGACTATTCAAATTTCGCCGAAGAAGCCATGACACAATATCTCAAATCCAAAGAACTGTTGATGGGCGTGTGCCCTTGGTGACGTCAAATTGCATCTTTTCTAGGCTCGTTAAGATGTAATTACCGTGTATACGCGCGCAAGAGAGCGTCCGCCAACAATGATTTTGCGCTCGTAAATTATGCGGGGCAAGCTACCCACGCGTTATTACAATCCGTCCTACTACGACTACTTGTTATACAAAACACGAAATATGTGAAAAGAACCTTTGGTCACTCTCAGTTTCTTAATATCGCTGTCCGCGCGCGCTCCCGTCGAACGCCGCCGCGCTCGAAAATGTTGTTGCGATTGTTCCGTTTTTCTTTGTGAGTGATCTTTGACCTCCGCCAATTAGGTAACGATGTATCAATTGCAAAAGGCGTTCGAGAACTCGTTGCGGTGCGGCTACGAGTGTTCGCCGAGAAGTTTGCGAAACCAGCACAGATCGTGCAAGGGCGCAGCGCACGCTTGCGGCAATTACCCAGGCGACGGCGGCGACGGTAAAACTAAGCAGTCGAAAAAGGACGTCGAAATAATCGAGCGCCTGCACTCGACGACGACCAAGGCGACGTGCGCCAAAACGCATCAGCCCTCCGAAAAACGGGAAAGGAGGCGACTTCGACTGCGCCAGGTGCTCGACGAGAAAATCGTACTAAACGGCGGCGGCGTCGAGCGACCGCCGTGGAACTCGAACAGGTCGTCCTTCCGACGGCGAAGACGCCACCTCGACGCCGCCAAATCGATCACTTTGCGCGAGGTCGTCTCTCTCGCCGAGAGGAGGAAGGCGAATTTCTCGATCGAGAAAGGTGCCCTGAAGGACTGGGACGAACTGCTCGCTAATGCGAAGGTAAGCGCCGTTGCGTAATTGCTCTCAAAGTTCAATGCTAGTAAATAAAATGGCGGGGAAAGTAGGCGCAATTAGCATTCGAAAAAAAGGTTTACGTGACCGATAACAACAGGCGAAGGAAAGCGGTTCTGCAACTCCCTGTTTTTTTCGGCACGATTTATTCAACAGCGGCCAGTTATACTCGTTTTCACGCGAAATGGACCGTGTGATTCATCACAAGTTAATTTTTAAGAAATCGCCGCCGAAATACGGAAGCCATTTTGTTGCATAACAATTCGTTTTTTGTCTATCGCAATTTGTGACAAAAGCCCCCAATATTTTGAATATAAAAGAAATTATGACCACCCTGTATATTTCAAAAAAATTATTGAAAGGTAAACCTCACAAATTACGCGTATTGTATGCGCCGCCCTGTATACATGAAATCAATTACTCCCCTCACTACCCTTAATTTTGATTCAAAGATAACACAAGGAAGATTTTTTGTCAAATGCTATTTTCATGGGTCCATACACGATAAAAATATTTGCAAAACAAACGCCTTCAAATTTGCGTGACAGAAATCCATTTTACAAACACCGGTGACACAATAAGAAGGCCGGAACGGCCTCGTTACAATGATACGGACAAAATAAATCCTGAAGCTGCAGATTGGAACCTTCCGACGGTAAAAAATGCTCCACCGAACCCAAAAGTTCTTGGATGTAGTTTTTTCGAACCGCTAATCCTTGTGTTCACGGATCGCAAGCATGTAAAAACCGGGAACGTTTGCCATTAACGGTCTTTAGTTACGTATTCCTGCAATCAAGGTTAATCCCCGTTTGTTCATTAACGGCGACACAGCTGAATTTTGCGGGGAAAAATAACCCAGCGCGTTTAATTAATCTGTCCTTGACCAAACGCAATTCCATTTTACGCGATGAAAACGCGCGTATTTCACAATTAAGTTTTAACGTCCTCTAATTGGTTGTCGTGTAATAGATAGAAATTATATAAATAAAATAATTGAGTTGAAATTGGAAGAAAACTATCTCGAAAAGGTAGTATTATGGTGAGGCGAGGAAATATAGAGGGCATAGCTTCATTTTCAGTCGCCGAAGACGAAGATATATCCCCTATGGTGTTAAAAAGAATACAATAGGGGACATAGCTTCGGCTTCGGCGGCTGCGCCGCCTCGCCTCGCTCTGTTAGTACGGCAAAGTGACCTAACTTGAAGCGTTCTTCGGATGGGTAGTAACAGGGCGAGGCGAAGCTATGTTCTCTGTGGTATTAAAAGGAACATAATAGTGAACATGGCTTTGGCTTAGGCCTCGCCTCGCCCCTATTCACCCCGTCTAGATTTTCTAATTATTGATTATACTGTAGGACTGTACGGTTACACTTTCTGTAGTTGAGACGCTAGATAATCAAAATTATAAATTGGGAACTAATTGGTCGCGCCGAAGACCAAACACTCATTGATTAATTTTAATTTTCTATAAGAATCACCCGCCGGTCTCTCTGCCTGCTTGACCACGAATCCTCAAAGTTTTTCGCGAAAGCTAACCCTCTATTCCTTATTAATTAAAGAATGCCTACAAAATAGCTTCTTATTAATGCAGACGGCCATTTTTAATTGTTAATTCATTGGAACTGAATATGGTCCAAACTCGGGTCCAAATCTCCGGCACAACAACGTTAATCTTCCATTTCACCGAATGCTCGCGTATTTATTCTTACAATTCCATACCCCCCAGACCCCCTGGTACTATGTTCCCAGCAATACTTCTTAGGAGAAGGCGATCTTACTATCTTTATAGTGGTACCGGGGGGTCTGGGGGGGGTATGGAATATCCCCCAGCCAAAACCCCCCAAGCAGACGATGGTTTTATAACGATTTCGAGAAAGTCATCCTGAGAGTACCGAGTGTTAATATAATTATCATAGAATCTTCCTTCTCTCGCTAGTGGGTATTCCATACCCCCCTGACCCCCCGGTACTATGTTCCCAGCAATACTTCTTAGGAGAAGGCGATCTTTATTCTAAAAAGTACCATGTGAATCCCGAGAGCAAACAGTTTTAGGAGATGCAGTATTACCGGAGGGGTCTGGGGGGTATGGAATCCCCCCAGCCAAAACCACCAAGCGGACGATGGTGTGATAACGATTTTGAAAAAATCATCCTGAGAGTACTGGGTGTTATATAATTTTGAAAAAATCATCCTGAGAGTACTGGGTGTTATATAATTACCATAGAATCTTCCTTCTCTCGCTGGGGAGGGCGGTACTCTATACCCCCCAGACCCCCCGGTACTATGTTCCCAGCAATATTTCTTAGGAGAAGGCGATCTTACGATTTTTATTCTAAAAAGCACCATGTGAATCCCGAGAGCAAACAGTTTTGTGGGGTAAAGTGGTACCGGGGGTCTGGGGGGTATAGAATACCCCCCAGCCCCTGCCAAAATCCCCCAAGCAAACGATGGTTCTATAACGATTTCGAGAGTCATCCTGAGAGTACCGAGTGTTATATAATTATCATAGAATCTTCCTTCTCTCGCTGGGGGGTATTCCAGACCCCCCGGTACTATGTTCCCAGCAGTTTTGTGGGGTAAAGTGGTGCCGCGGGGTCTGGGGGGTATGGAATCCCCCCCAGCCAAAACCACTAAGTGGACGATGGGTTTATAACGATTTCGAAAAAGTCACTCTGAGAGTACTTGTACTTATAATTACCATAGAATCTTCCTTCTCTCGCTGAGGGGTATTCAATACCCCCCCAGACCCCCCGGTACTATGTTCCCAGCAATACTTCTTAGGAGAAGGCGATCTTTATTCTAAAAAGTACCATGTGAATCCCGAGAGCAAACAGTTTTAGGAGATGCAGTGTTACCGGAGGGGTCTGGGGGGTATGGAATCCCCCCAGCCAAAACCACCAAGCGGACGATGGTGTGATAACGATTTTGAAAAAATCATCCTGAGAGTACTGGGTGTTATATAATTACCATAGAATCTTCCTTCTCTCGCTGGGGAGGGGGGTACTCTATACCCCCCAGACCCCCCGGTACTATGTTCCCAGCAATACTTCTTAGGAGAAGGCGATCTTACGATTTTTATTCTAAAAAGCACCATGTGAATCCCGAGAGCAAACAGTTTTGTGGGGTAAAGTGGTTCTGGGGGGTATGGAATACCCCCCAGCCCCAGCCAAAATCCCCCAAGCAAACGATGGTTCTATAACGATTTCGAGAGTCATCCTGAGAGTACCGAGTGTTATATAATTATCATAGAATCTTCCTTCTCTCGCTGGGGGGTATTCCAGACCCCCCGGTACTATGTTCCCAGCAATTCTTCTTAGGAGAAGGTGATATTACGATCCTTATTCTAAAAAGCACCATGTGAATCCCGAGAGCAAACAGTTTTGTGGGGTAAAGTGGTACCGCGGGGTCTGGGGGGTATGGAATACCCCCCAGCCAAAACCACTAAGTGGACGATGGGTTTATAACGATTTCGAAAAAGTCACTCTGAGAGTACTTGTACTTATAATTACCATAGAATCTTCCTTCTCTCGCTGGGGGGTATTCCATACCCCCCCAGACCCCCCGGTACTATGTTCCCAGCAATACTTCTTAGGAGAAGGCGATCTTATTATCCTTATTCTAAAAAGCACCATCTGAATCCCGAGAGTAAACAGTTTTGAGGGGAAAAGTGGTACCGGGGGATCTGGGGAGTATGGAATACCCCCCAGCCAGAACCACCAAGCGGAGAATGGTTCTATAACGATTTCGAAAAAGTCATCCTGAGAGTACTGGGTGTTATATAATTATCATAGAATCTTCCTTCTCTCGGTGGGGGGAATTCCATACCCCCCCGACCCCCCGGTACTATGTTCCCAGCAATACTTCTTAGGAGAAGGCGATCTTACGATCCTTATTCTACAAAGCACCATGTGAATCCCGAGAGCAAACAGTTTTGTGGGGTAAAGTGGTATGGAATACCCCCCCCCCCCCCCCAGTCAAAAGCACTAAGCGGATGATGGTTCTATAACGATTTCGAGAAAGTCATCCTGAGAGTACCGGGTGTTATATAATTACCATAGAATCTTCCTTCTTTCCTCCTAAGAATACTTCTTAGGAGAAGGCGATCTTACGATCCTTATTCTAAAAAGCACCATGTTTTAGGAGATACTGTGTCTGGGAGGTATGGAATACCCCCCCCCCCCCCAGCGGGAGAAGGAAGACTCTATGATAATTATATAACACCCGGTACTCTCAGGATGACTTTCTCGAAATCGTCTGCTTGGGAGGTTTTGGCTGGGGGGTATTCCCCCCACACCTCCCGGTAAAACTGTGTCCCCCAAAACGTTTGCCCTTGGGATTCACAAGGTGCTTTTTAGAGTATGGATCGTAAGATCGCCTTTTCCTAAGAAGTATTGCTGGGAACATAGTACCTGGCGGTCTTGGGGGGGGGGGATGTTACCGGTGGGGGTATTGTACACTCCCCAGACACTGCAGCCCCCCCCCCAGCAGAATTTGGTGTCGAGATAATAATTTTTCCGCGATCCCACGATTTAGGGTAACTTAGTGTACCTAATTCTTTCGTTGTCGAGAAAAAAATTAAAGAAGAAACCTCTGATCACCCAATTGTTTACAGACCTCTATGCTACATCCTGTATATATGGGACAAAATTTTGAAATGGCCGAAAAAATGGGAGAGTGTTTTGTGTGAGATCTTGTGGGAATAATTAGGATTTAGAGGCATCAATCTAAATTCCAACAGGCTCTAAGGACATAAAAAATCGTCCAAAATGTGCAATAAAATGCTGAAAAATCTGATCTAAGAATCACTTGTGTACCTACTACCATAGGTATGTGAATTAAAACTTGTAGCAATTACTCAAGTTGAACGTGTTCGACCCACTTAATTTAATTACTAAGTGCACGGTAATTACAGGGGTCAGGTCTCACTTTGGGAAACTTTTACCTTAATATTTTTGGCAACAACGTAATTTCGAGCCTTTACCATTTTTTGGGTGTTTTTTTCGTCGGTATCTAATTACAATATGATGTATCATACGCCAATTACGACATCAATTTCCAAGGACGTAAGTCACATTATTCTCTGACCGTACACTCGCAAATATAATGTCGTACGCGATCGATCAATTTTCTAACGCGCCAATTTCCTTCCAGGCGAAATCCGAGGAGCAGGTGACGAGCGAGAAGCAATGGCTCGACGCCGAGAGGATCTGGCTGGTGCATCGCGGCGGTTTCGCGGCGGCAAGGAAGGACGCCGGCTCCAATTTGGAGACGGGAAAGTTACGAATACGCTTAGACGAAATGGGTGACATTTTGGACGTGGACGAGGACGACGTGGAAAAGGCTAATCCGCCACAGTTCGATCGGGCCGAGGATCTCTCCACCCTGAGGCACCTAAACGAATCTAGTCTACTTCACACGATACGACAGCGATACGCGACGAACCTAATTCACACGTACGCAGGCAACGGAATTCTGCTGGTGGTTAATCCGATGGCGCCTCTCGCGATTTATTCAGAGAAGGTAAGAGAAAATTTGAACTTATCGACATTATCATTTTTTTAAATTATTTTGTTTCAATTGTTGATCATTTTGTCATCTTCATGGTCATTGTCAACGGGCTTCAAAGATTCTGTTTCTGAACCCACAATTTTGGATGTTATTTTGAATCCGCCACCTTGGCGTCATCGGTGATAAAATTATGGGATTCAAACCCTCGATACCTGAGATAAAAGGCTAGCGCTCAACCTGTTGATTTACAATCTAGAGATTCTATACAAGGTCATCGAGAAAAGCTGGACTCGGAACATTAATAAGTAACATTGTGATATAGTTTAATTTTTTACCAAAATTTAGAGACCATTCACTTATCTGCTCCCCCCGACATGCGATAATCGACCTCAGTTCCAGGTCCTCTGAATAATGTCAGAAGTTACAGTTGCATCCCCATACACTGTGCGAAAATGCCAAGAATCATACACCTTCATCATACCGTTCCGCGTTTCGGTTGTACACTTGTCATGACTGCGACGATACTGACTGGTCTACTGCAATCGCTCAAGACTTCTAGATCACCTCAATGACAATACTATAACTACAAGCACTGTTTAAAGTCCAAAGGTTTCCGGTCGTTCAAAGTGCAAAGGTTGGTCGCCGTTCAAAGTCTATTTCTCACTGTTCAAAGTCCAAAGGTTGCGCGCCATTTAAAACCCAAAAATTCGTTCGCCGTTCAAAAGTTGCTTATCAATCTGATGATGATCTTGAGTTATGATCCCGAACTCTGGATCAACTGCCGATATCTCGCACCCCAGACCAACTATCGAAATATGGCACCTCGGAACAACTGCCAAACTTTGACTTCGCATCCCGGACCAACTGCCAAAAGTGCACCTCGGGCCAATTCCCGAAATCTCGCACCAACTGCCGAAATATAGCAATCCAGATCAAATGCCAAAATGCGACATTGCACTCTTGACCAACTGCTCAAATTTGACCTTGCACCCCGAGCCAACTGACAAAATTTGAACTTTGTACCCTGATCAAATGCCAAAATGTGACTTTGCATTCCGGACCAACCACAGAAATATAGCACCCCTGACCAACTGTCGGAATACGACACCCCTGGCCAATTTTCAAAATCTCTTACTCTGGACAACTGCCGAAATATGGCACTTCGGATGAAATTCCAAAATGTGACCTTGCACCGCAGACCAACTGTCCAAATTTAACCTTGCACCCCGGACCAACTGTCAGTATTATTATTATCATCATATCAATTGCCGAAGTCTCGCACCCCGGACCAATTGCAAGAATGTGACCTTTCACACCGGATCAAATGCCAAAATTTGGCCTTGCACCCGGGCCAACTACAGCAATATAGCACTCCGGAGCAACTGCCGAAATTTGCCACACCGGGCCAATTGTCGAAATCTCGCACTCCGGATTAACTGCCGAAATATGGCATGCAGAGCTAACTCCCGAAATTAGGGGGAGAATTTCCCATGGTCCCCAGAATTTTCCCAGGCCGCAGTGCCCCAATACCTACTAATGTGCGTAAATTTTACATGCGACAACCAATTTGTCTCGGGTTTTGCAGACGCGTGCCTCTGGTGATGGTGTCAAATAAACAAGTTAAAATTGTGCACAACTCAAAGCGCATTTTTTAAACAGAAGTAGCATTTGATTTGACATCACCAATGGATATATTCCTTGCAGTCGTCTCAATCGCCCTTTGTGAGTACCCTCTTCTGACAATCCGGTCTTGGGGTATAAGGGAATATACCCGATCACGATCAGAGGTCGAGGAGGTATGGTTGGTAGAAATTAATTCCTTTCGTTGAGACCTTTCATTAGAGTACCATGAAGGATAAAACTAGTTTATCCCCCCCCCCCCCCTCTCCACCCCGTACGTAGATGAGAGGACAGAAAGAAGGGCAGTAGTTGGTAGAAAACGGTTCTTTTCGTTGAGACCTTTAATTAAAATACAATGATGAGAGATAAAATTAATTTTAACCCCCCCCCCTCAGACCCCGCCGCTCACTGATCTCAAAAAAGGGTCGCACGGGAAAGTTATAGTTTGTACAAACAAATTTATTTCGATGAGACCTTCCATTAGAATGCCATGAAGGGTAGAACATGTCCTTATATCTTAAGACTGAATTGTCAAAGGAAAGTACCTACAAAGGGCGATTGGGACGTTTGGAAGAAATTTAAATAAAATTTGATACATAGCTACTTACAATAAAACCAAATTTAACGCCAGTTTCAAAATTTCGTTTTGGGCATGCGCAGTGCCAACTTTCTTATTTATGGAGGGATTTAAATGAAATTTGATACATAGCCACTTGGAATAAAAGCAGATGTAGCGCCATTTTCCAAATTTGGTTTTGTGTAGGATGCTGGATGTGCAGTGCCAATTTTCTTATTTATGGAAGAAATTTCGTAGGGGTGTTTTAAAAAAATGCGCTTTACATGTTCATGAAGTGTGTGCCGTTGCACCGTCTTGTTGGAACCTCCAGTCCAACTCATTTAGCCATGGGAAAAAATTTATGTAATTGGTTTACATACCGGTCCGATTTCACTCTAGCCATGGCCTTACTGAGCTCAGAAGAGCGCTGTTGCTTTAAAATCTGCATTCAGATATAAACACAAAAACATGTAAAATGTGCGAGATCAAAGTTAACGTTTGTCACACTCGAGTAACTCGAATACTAAAAATCGTAATTAACACTCAACAAGGAACAATAGTCTAAATGACGTTAAAGAGCAAAAGCATCACTTTGATTTGAAAGCAAGTTGTCGAGACCAGACGGCAATGTACAAGACTAATATAACGTCATAAGGATTGGACACGTAATTAAGCTAGCATGGATAAATTTTTCACAATGACAAAAATTAATATACATAAGATCAGGTCGGTGTTGAACAATAATCTCCAAAAGACAATCGGTAATGCTTGCAGTTAAATACAAGAACCATACATCAGTCTTCAAAATATTTTGCGTGACCTCTAGTGGCAGAATAAGGAACTACGAAGTGAAATCTATGTCAATAATCTTAACCTACAACGCATTTACAGAAAAAATATACAGAAAATCACACACACAAGTGACGACCTGGAATCTTATATTTTGTGGCGGTAATGAATCGTGTTTACACTAATAACACTTCCGTTATCGCGATTAAATTCCTCGAAGGGAATTTTTAGTACATTTTTTTTACTGTTTCAGGTGATAGCGCTTTTTAAAGGCTGTAAAAGCGAAGACATGCCACCCCACATCTACTCAATGGCCCAGTCCGCCTACCACAACATGCTCTCGGCGCGAAGAGATCAATCGATAGCATTCCTGGGCAGGTCCGGATCGGGAAAGACGACGAACTTCAGGCACTCGATCCAGTACCTCGTGACGGCCGCCGGAACGATTAACAAAATACTGACGGTCGAAAAATTGTCGGCGATCTGGACGATTTTGGAAAGTTTCGGCAATTGCAGGACGGCGATGAACGCGAACGCGACGCGTTTCACTCAGATTTTTAGCTTGGATTTCGACCAGAGCGGCGTTGTCGCGTCGGCGAGTATACAGATTTTAATGCTTGACAAGTCGAGGATCGCGAAGAAGATCGACGCGGAGACGACGTTCCACGTCATGTACCGTTTACTGTCGGGCGTCGAGGGCAATTTACGCAAGGAGCTGTTTTTGGAGAGCATCTCCGGCAACGAGCAGAATCCCTTCATCACGCTTCTTCAGAAGCATGAGGATAAGCAACGCGCCCAGGTCGAGTTCGTTAAAGTTTGCAATGCGTTTCACGTGCTGGAGATAAGCGAATCGGAGCAGAAGACGATCTGGTCGGTTTTGGCGGCGATCTTCCATCTCGGTTGCGCGGGCGCCACCAAAGGTAAATCGTCGACCAACCGTCAACTGGCTAACAAAAACTTTTTACAGGAAACGCGAACAATCGTTACCAGTTCGTGAGTCCGCAATCGGCACAACGAGCAGCCCATCTCCTGGGTACAACGGTCGAGGAATTGTCGAGGATTATTTTCGGCCTAGCCTCCGGAGGTTTGGGCACGCCTAACGCGCCGAGAGCGCCGTTTCGTACGCCGTCGCCGATCGATAAGGGTCTCGATCGTGACGTGGTCGGGTTGGAGGCGCTCGAAGGGATGATCGTCGGATTGTATGCGGAAACTTTTAACTGTGTAGCTTCCTTGATCAATAGGTAAGGGCTAGATCCCAACGGTAAGATTAGTTCTCCTACTATCCGCCCCATGGCTGTTTGAGACCTTCATACACGTATACATCATGATCTCTTTGCTCCATTTAAAGTTGATTAAGCCAATCAGAATCGCATAACGAAAGAGAAGAGGACCCCCTTTCTCGTATTGCTTACGCACCGCCCGGCAGCAGGTACGAGATAAGGGAGCAAATATACAGCGTATGGGGTACTTCATTCGCGAAAATAAATTGTTGATCGAATCATACGGTCGATCACTGGCGAATAATCTAAAACAGAATTACGGCAAACAAAAACGGAACGGAAACGCAACTTAATAACTGACGGTCTACACCGGAAAACAAAGTAAAGGAAAGCAAACCCCCTTTATAATTAACGGATTGAAGATATCAAGCTCTTACCTTGAAATTAAACAGTATGGGTAGAGTGAAAAATTGAACACTTTGAAAATACGAGGATATCGACAGATAAAAAGAGATCAAAAAGCTTCCTCTAAATGGAACTCGAATTTTCCAGCCGGTCAATGCACTAATCATAAAAATTTGGGACCAGTCCCAAAACTCATGTCAATTAAACGCGCTTCATTTGACACTAGCAAATCGAATTCAAAGGTGGACAGTTAGTACAAGAAGGAATAAAATAGTTACTAGCTGTAAGTACACTCTTTAAAAACAGAACAAACAAAATAAAAAAGCGTCCCCAGAATCTAGTAACTCGCTTGTTTTGCCAAGCTTCATCGCGAAAATCCCTGTCCTTCTGCATCTCTACCGAACGGTCGAAGTCGAGGATTGTTGTATAGAGCGTTTTGTATTTTTCCCAAACTGCCATTCGTTAAGATGTAAGTGTGAAATTCTTGACAAGGATAGCTACGCAGGTTTAACACAATTTAAGAGAGGAACTCTTTTAATTGTTTTAAAGCTTTAAAGCTACTTTTTTTTAGTTTAAAAAATGTTGCTAGTAACTCTTTAAAGTCCACTGAAACTCTTTTGAAGCTTCCTTGAACTTTTAGGACTGTCCCAAGAACTTCTTTCAAACCGTTTACCGAAAATGCGAATTATGGTTTGTTGTATGATGTGTTGCCTATCTGAATGTCCGATAGCGTTGAGTGACTTCTCACGCAACACCTATGTTATGTGTGTTGCCTATCCAGTACGACCTTTTTTAAAACAAAGATTCGAGATCCAGCATACCAGATTCAGTATTTAAGGTTTAGGATTCAAGATTCTTCAAAATTCAGGATTAAACATTTAGGATTCGAGATCAAGATTTCGGATTCAAGGTTGAAGATTCAGAATTCGAATTTCAAGGAGATTTGGTAGGATTAAGGAAGATTCTATAAGATTAAAGGATTCAGGATTAAAGGCTTAAAGGTCAAGGTTTCAATTACAAATTTCGGGATTTCGATATTTGGGAGGAATCAGGAAGATTAAAGAAGATTCAAAAAGATTCAGGAAGATTCAAGAAAAAGACGCAAAATTCAAGATTCAGGATTAAAATTTCAGAATTCAATATTACAGCTTCAAGGAGATTCGGGTGGATTAACGAAGATTAAAGACAATTCAGAAGGATTTAGAAAGATTCAGGAAGATTCTATAAAGAAAGATTCAGAATTCCAGGTTTAGAATTCAAGATTCTTCGAAATTCAAGATTAAAGATTTAGGATTCGAGATTTAAGATTTAGGTTTCAGGATTCAAGGTTCTGGGTTCAATATTCAGGATTTAACATTTAGGATTCAAGATTCAGCATTCCAGATTCAGAACTCGACATTCCGTATGCAAGGTTCAGGATTCAAGCTTCTGGATTTAACATTCAGGGTTCAAGATTTTTCAAAATTCAGGATTAAAGGTTTTGAGATTCAGGATGCAAAATTTAGGATTCAAGATTCAAGAAGATTTGGGTGGATTAAGGAAGATTCAGGAAGATTTAGAAAGATCCAGGAAGATTCTATAACATTAAAGAAGATTCAAAATTCAATGATTCAGGATTCAAGATTTGGTATTCAAAATGCAAGATTCAGGATTAAAGATTCTTCAAAATTCAGGGTTAAAGATTTAGGTTTTGAGAGTCAGGATTCAACATTCAAGGAGATTTGGGGGGATTAAGGAAGATTAAAGAAGAGTCAGGAGTTGGAAAGATTCAGGAAGATTGTATGAAATTAAAGAAAAAGACGCAAAATTCAAGATTTGGGATTCAGGATTCCAGATTCAAGATTCAGGATTCAAAATTCAGAATTCAAGGTTCTTCAAAATTCAGGATTAAAGAGATTTGGTAGGATTAAGGAAGATACTATAAGGTTGAAGAAGATTCAGGATTTGGAAAGATTCAGGAAGATTGTATAAAATTAAAGAAAAAGACGCAAAATTCAAGATTTGAGATTAAGGATTCAGGATTCAACATTCAGAATTCAAGGTTCTTCAAAATTCAGTATTAAAGATTTAGGATTAGAGATTCAAGATTTAGGATTCAGAAGATTGAGCTGGATTTAGAAAGATGCAGGAAGATTCTATAAAATTCAAGAAGATTCATGAAAAAGACGCAAAATTCAAGATTCAGAATTTAAGATTGGACATTCAAGATTCAGGATTTAATATTCGGGTTTCGGGGTTCAAGATTTTGAATTTAAGATTCAAGGAGATTTTGGTTGATTAAGGAAGATTAAAGAAGATTCAGGTGGATTTATAAAGATGCAGGAAAAAGACGCAAGATTCAGGATTTAATGTTCGTGATTCCGGGTTCAAGATTTTGGATTTAAGATTCAGGATTCTAGATTCCGAATTCGAGATTCTGAATTTAACATTCAGGATTCAAGATTCTTTAACATTCAGGATTAAAGATTTAGGTTTCGAGATTCATGATTTGAGTTTCAAGGAAATTTGGTAGGATTAAGGAAGATTCTATAAGATTAAAGAAGGTTCAAGACAAAGACGCAAAATTCCGGATTCAAGAATCGGGATTCAAGATTCAGGATTCGAGATTCGAGGCGATTTGCGAGGATTCAGGAAGATTTCATGAGGTTGAAGAAGATTCAAGATTCAGGAAAAAGACGCAAGATTCAGGCTTTAATATTCGGGATTTCGGGTTCAAGATTCAGGATTCAAGATTCTTCAACATTCAGGATTAAAGATTTAGGTTTCGAGATTCAGGATTAAAAATTTGGAATTCAAGATTCAAGGAGGTTTGGGTGGTTTAAGGAAAATTAAAGAAGATTCAGGAGGATTTTGAAAGATTCAGGAATATTCTATAAAATTAAAGAAGAAAAAGGCGCAAAATTCAAGATTTGGGATTCAGGATTCCAGATTGAAAATTCAGGATTCAAGGTTTGGGATTCAAGATTCTTCAAAATTCAGAATTAAAGATTGAGGATTTAAGATTCAGGATTCAAAATTCCGCATTCAAGGTTCAGGATTGAAGATTCAGCATTTAGCATTCAGGATTCAACATTCAGGATTCCAGATTCAGGATTCAAGATTCCAAATTCAGGATCCAAAATGATGAAAGAAGTTTCAGGATTCAGAAAGGTTTAGGATTCGTGGTTCAGGATTAGAGATTCAAGGAGATTTGGAAGGATTCAGGAAGATTCTATGAGGTTGAAGTAGATTCAAGATTCAGGAAAAAGATGCAAGATTCGGGATTTAATATTCGGGATTCCGGGTTCAAGATTCAGAATTCAAGATTTAGGATTTAAGATTCAGGATTCTAGATTCCGCATTCAAGATTCTGGATTCAACATTCAGGATTCCAGATTCTTCAACAGTCAGGATTAAAGATTTAGGTTTCGAGATTTAGGATTCAAAATTTAGAATTCAAGATTCAAGGAAAATTAAAGAGCATTCAGGAGCATTTAGAAAAATTCAGGAAGATTCTATAAAATTAATGAAGAAAAAGGCGCAAAATTCAAGATTTGGGATTCAGGATTCCAGATTCAAAATTCAGGATTCCAAGGTTTGGGATTCAAGATTCTTCAAAATTCAGAATTAAAGATTGAGGATTTAAGATTCAGGATTCAAGATTCCGCATTCAAGGTTCAGGATTCCAGATTCAGGATTCAAGATTCCAAATTCAGGATCCAAAATTATGAAAGAAGGGTCAGGATTCAGAAAGATTTAGGATTCGTGGTTCAGGATTAGAGATTCAAGGAGATTTGGAAGGATTCAGGAAGATTCTATGAGGAAGTAGATTCAAGATTCAGGAAAAAGATGCAAGATTCGGGATTTAATATTCGGGATTCCGGGTTTAAGATTCAGAATTCAAAATTTAGGATTTAAGATTCTGGATTCAAGGTTCTTAATTCAAGGTTTAGGATTCAATTTTAAGGATTCAGAATCCCAGATTCAGGATTCAAGAGTAATGATTCGAGATTCAGAATGAGGTTGAAGAAGAATCAAGATTCAGGAAAAAGATGCAAGATTTGGGATTTAATATTCGGGATTCCGGGTTTAAGATTCAGAATTCAAGATTCAGGATTCACGATTCCGGATTCAAGGTTTAGGATTCAAAATTAATAAAGAAGATTAAGGAAATTTAGAAGGATTCACGAAGATCAAACAAGATTCAGGAAGATTAGATGCGATTAAAGAAAATTCAAGAAGAAGGATTCAAGACACAAAAACAGCTCTTTACGTGGTCCCAGTGCTGAGATCTCAAAGCCTGAGAGAGGCGTCTGACGGAATTTACGCATGTATGAGCTATATTTTTCATAAAAATTATCAAAATTTATCAATGATCAAATCATTCGAAAAATGAATTGAAAAAATTAAAAAAAATATGCGGGGAGGATTAAGTGAATATCAAAAATGAAACAAGAGAAAAGTGACAAATGAAAGGTAAAAATGTTAAACTACATTAAACCTAAAAAAATATGGAGAGGTGAAATGAGGAAAAAGTCTGATAGGCGAAAATATCAATACAATATCAAATTATCAATATCAAACAGTTATATATGCACACGTGCGTTAATTAATGTTCGGCTGATTATAGCTCCTTATCGTAAACGACCAGATGTGTCTTACTGCTAACACCTTATCTAAATTGAGTAATTTACAAAAGCAATAAAATTAAAACGAAAAATTTACTAACTAATTTTTAAGAGGAAAAACAAATATATGGAAATAAAAATATCTGCACGGACCGACTACAGAATCCTCGTAGGCGTCGCTTTGCCGAAATTTTTCAATTATTATAAAAATCAGCTTGAGTTGTAACCGAAAGATCCTTTTCATGCCCACACCCACACAACAACTTATCTCTCGTTACACATTACATTTGCAAAAAATACTAATTCCATATATTTGCTTATAGAGCGATTTCCGCATCAATCCACACTGTCAACTCCATCCTCTTAGTCGACACGCCCGGTTTTCAAAATCCCGCCTCCTGCGGAAAGCAAATGGGCGCCACCTTCGAAGACCTATGCCACAACTACCTGCAGGAGCGTCTCCAACTGCTATTCTACCACACCAACCTGGTGGCTCCGCGCGACCGCTACAACCAGGAGAACGTCGAACTGACCTGCGACGAGAACGAAAACGAAAGCATCATCAATCCGCTACCTCTAGTTAATCTACTGGATAAGACCGCCCAGGCGACCGTCGTCCGCAGCTCGCAGGTCGACCTGCACGACTGCGATCGACGCGGCTTGCTTTGGTTGCTCGACGAGGAGGCGATCTATCCCGGTTCGACGGACGACTCCTTCCTCGAGCGTCTCTTCACCCACTTCGGCGACCGCGACCACCAGCTCCTGCTGAGAAAATCGCCCGGCAACAACCAGTTCATCCTCCAGCACCTGCAGGGCACCAATCCCGTGATGTACTCCTGTAACGGATGGCTAAAGTGTAGTAGAGAGAACCCCGTCTCGAGATCCGCCGTGACCGTCCTGCAGGAGAGCTGCAAGGAGGACGTCAGTAAATTGTTCGTGGGCGCGCGAGGCCTCGGCGCCTCGAGCTTTAGCGGCTCGATCGTCGGAATCGAGGGCTCCCAATCGTTGCGAAGGGCCTCGAGCATTCGCCGAACTTTCACGGCCGGACCGGCCGCCATCAAACGAAAATCCATATGTCTACAGACGAAATTTACGATCGACGGTCTCGTCGAAACGCTACGCCGAACGAAGCTGCGCTTCGTCGTCTGCCTCCTTCCGCAGCACAACGCGGGCCACTGCGAGACGAACGGCACCGTGAAATCATCGAACCAAGGCGAAGATGTCATTAACGTCCCACTGTTACGGTCTCAGGTGAGTTGTTCGCATTTTTTTGATTGAAAATCGAGCTTAATTTCGTTGTAGATACGAGGAGGTCAAATTTTGGAAGCGGTCCGTCTTTACAAGCAGGGCTTTCCGCACTTTATGCCGCTGAGCGAGTTTCGCCGACGATTTCAGCTGCTCGGCGGCGATTTACGACCGAAAAGTCCCGTCATGGACGAGAGGAAGACGGTGGAAGACATGCTGTTGAGCCTGGATTTAGAGCTGTCGGGGTACAGAGTTGGATTGAGCCAAGTAAGTAGTTCGTTTCTGTCAATTTTAACATTTCGTTTGAAATAGTGTGTGTTGTGTTGCATCTCTAGTTGAGAGTCAAGAACAGTTCCGGCACTAGGTGTCGTAACTAAAATGGTTACAGTTATATATCACGACAAAATTAAAATGTTACCTTTGAATCCTGGCCACACCCCTCTGAATTCAGAAGGGTGCTGTCTGCCAGTAATCTGGAAAAACGAAGAGAGATAGGGTGTGAAATTGACCAATTATATTGAGGGACATAAAGATACTAAGAGATCTCTATTAATAGAACACCGAACTACAAACCCATACCAATAAATCTAATTACAACGAATTTACAGAGAAAATGTACAGATGGCGTAACGGGTACTAAATGGATACAGTCACTTTGCACGAAACAGTGACGAGGAGCAAACGGCTCCGCCCAGCCGCCATGTTGCATCGAAAATTCAAATTAAAAATCATCAAATGGCAGTACAATTGTAGTGTAGGCAACACACAATACATGTATGAAACAATAGCCATAAACATGTAGCAGAAACTCGATGCAACATGGCCGCGCATCTCAACAACCAATCAAAAATTAGACGCTATTGATGCCACTGTCTCGTATCATTTTTCTTTGTCAGTCTTTTTCGCTTTCCCTTTCTCAATTCCCCCCTTTCTACCTCTTCCGCTTTCTTTCCATATCTCTCTTTGTTTCCTTCGCTTTTCTTTTTCTCAGTGTTTACTCCTTATTTCCCCCTTTTCTGTTTATTTTTCTAAGCTTAAACCCCTCTTTACCTAACGCACACTAAAAAATAAAGTTGAAATTTACTTCGCCTTTTCCATCATATTCCCTCTGTCTTCTTCGCCTTTCTTTCCCAATTTTCTTCTTCCTTTCTCCCTCACATCCCTCTTTGCCTTTATTTCTCCCACTTTCTACCCTTCCTCACTCTATTCAAAAAGGTGACTAAAAATAAATTTGAATTTTACATCTTTCTCCCTCATACCTCATTTTCATCTCGCTTCCTATACCTTCCTCACTCTCTCTTCATCTTTCTTTGTCCGTCTTCTTCGCTTCTCGCCCTCCTTACTCAGCGCGCACTAAAAAATCAATTTAAATGTAATTGCTTCTTTGTCCTTTACATTCTCACTTCTTCTACCTCTTCCACTCCCTCTCCGTCTTTCTCTCTTTGTCTTCTCTTTTACTACCCTCTCTGTCTCTTTTATCTTCCTGTTTTCACTTCCTCTCGCCCCATTTTCCTTCACGCTCCCTATTCGTCTATATTTCTCTCACTTTCCACCCCTATAAACATCCCCTATACTTAACTGATAGTACAAAATAAATTTGATCTTGACATCTATTCCTCTTGCATCCCTCCACTGTTTGATTTCCCTACCTCCAACTCTCTCTGTCTGTTTTCTTCGCCTTCCCTCTCCCAATTTTTCTTCCTGTTCCACTCTCCGTCTTGCTTCGTATTTGTCATCATTTCTCTCACTTTCTACCCCTTTTGGCCCTCCTTGCTCTTGCTCAGTCTATTGACACTACTCTTTTCTCCTGATACTCTCCCACCTTTTCTATCTCTTCTACTCCCGTTTGTTTATCTATGTCTTGAAATTTCTCCGCGTCTCCCCCTTCTCTCTGCTGTTCTCTCCACACCTTCATTCCTCTTAATCTTGCCCCCCCCCCCTACTCTTTATCTTTCCTGTTCAGTATGCCAGAAGCCCTCCTTACTCTCCCTACTCAACTCATACTAAAAAAAGATTTAAATCTTACCTTGTTTTTTGTCTTCACACTCCCTCTACGTCTATCTCTGTCTTGTTCACGTTCCCTTCCATTTATTTCCCCCCTTCTCCTTCTCGCTCCTTTTCCTCTGCATTTCCCTCACCTAAAATTTGAATTTTACTTCGTCTTGCTCTCTGTGTCTATCTTTTCTGAATGTCACCTCCTCTCGCTCCATTCTGCTACATTTTGCCCCCCTCCCCTCCCTCTTCGTCTTTATTTCTCATACTTTCCGCCTCTACTCACGCGCAATAGGTACTCAACGGATAGTGCAAAAAAAATTTCCTCTACCTCGCACTCCCTCTGTGTGTTTTCTTCACCTTTCTTCTTTCAAAATTTTTCGTCTTGTCCCCCTTTCTCCATCTTGCTTCCTGTTTGTCATCATTTCTCTCACTTTCTACCCCTTCTCGCCCTCTTTACTAAATGCATACTAAAAACTCAATTTAAACTTTATCTTGTTCCCCTCTCTCTACGTCTTTCTTTCTCCATCCTTTTGCCTTTCTCAATTTCTCTTCCTCTCCCCCTTCTCACTGTTGTTTCTAATCTTCATTTCTCTCGCTTTACCCCCCCTTCCCCATCTTCCTTTTTTTATGCCTGTCTTCTTCGCCCTCTTTTTTCAATTTCTCTTCCTCTTCCTCATTTATTTATTTAAATTAAATTGCGTTGTCCTTTCCCCTCACACCCTTTCGTCTTGTTATTTGTCTCCTTTGCCTTCCCTTTCTCAATTTCTCTTCCCCTTCTCTCTTTCTCGCTCTTTCTTCCAGTTCTCACACCCCTTAGTTCCTCGGGTTTCCTTTTCGTCTTCGGAGGTTTCGGATTTTTGTAATTTTTGGGAACCTGACTGTGATTTTTGAAAATTCGAGAATTAGATTTTGTGATTTTTTAGACATTCGGATTTTTGAAGATCAATTTCAAATTTTGGGGTATGGTATTTTTTAATTGTGTTTAATTTCAGTTTAGGGGAATTACTTGGGAATTCTAGATTATTCTAATATCTTTGAAAATTTTAGATTTCGAAATTTTGTGAATTTGGGATTTTTGAAATTTTGGCAATTAGATTTAAGAATTTTTGAAAATTAGGGAATTTAATATTTTGGAATATTGAGATCATGGGATTTTTGAAATTTGGGTGTATGTGATTTTAGGAATTTGAGATTTGGGATATCTGAAATTTCGGCAATTACGTTTTGCAATTGTGTAAAAAGTAAGGGAATGTGATCTTGCGATTTTTGAACTTTTGGGTATTTGATATTTTGGGATTTTTGAGAATTTGAGATTTTAGTAATTTAGACTCTTTGAAATTAGAGGTTTCAGAATTATATTTTTAGAATTTGAGACAGGGATTTTTGAAATTTGAAGTTTTGTGAATTTTAAACATTTGGACCTCTGAAATTTCGGGAAATTGAGATTTTAGAATCTTTAATATTTGGATTGTTTTTAATGGTTGGAATTTACCGTAAGATTTTTGGGATTTTCGAATCCTTGAAATTACCACAATTTGAGATTTTTTTAAATTTTGAAAATTGGAGATTATGGGATTTTGGATTTATAGGTGAATCTAGATTTTTGGATTTTTGAAAATTTTGGTATTCGAAATGTTATGAATATGAGATGTTTGAAATTTCGGGATTTTTTAAAAGTTTGGGTACTTATGTGAGATTTTAGGAATTTGAGATTCGAGATTTTAGAAACTTCGGAAATTTGATTGTTTGTACGGGAATTTGAAACGTTGGGTGTATGAGATCTTGTGATTTTTGAAATTGTAGGAATTTGAATGTTTGTGAATTTTAACTTTTGGGACTTTGAAATTTTAGGGAATTTGATTTTTTTTAATCCTATAATATTTGGAATTTTTAGAATGTTAGAAATTTTAAACTAGGATTTTGAAATTTTTGAATATTTAAGAGTATAGGATTTTCGATTTATAGGTGAGTCTAGATTTTTGGATTTTTGAAAATGTTGGTATTCGAAATGTATAAGATGTTTGAAATTTCGGGATTTTTTTTTAAATGTTGGGTACTTATGTGAGATTTTAGGAATTTGATATTCGAGATTTTAGGATTGTTGTACGGGAATTTGAAACGTTGGGTGTATGAGATCTTGTGATTTTTGAAATTTTGGGTATTCGAGATTTTGGGATTTTTGAAATGTTAGGGAATTTGATTTTTTTAAATCCTATTATATTTGGAATTTTTAGAATGTTGAAAATTTTAGACTAGGATTTTGAAATATTTAAGAGTATGGGATTTTCGATATATCGCTAGGCTTCGGCGTTATGACGTGGCTCAAGAGTAGACTGTCCCGCGAAAAACCTTCCGTCGAAATACGGCAGTGAGCACCCAATCGGATAGAAAAACACTCCTGGCCATTTTGTTTTCACAGTGCGAGTGTTTGAAATCTGGTTACCCGAAAGATCTTTGCGCCAGATTCAGAGTCATCACGAGAATTTTGAGAGACTTCATAATCTTCACTCAAGGTTCAGAGCGTGCAGAATTGATGACTTAGAACCTTCAGTGTCTTCGGAGCATTTACAGTCGGCCTTTATACGCACCTAATTGGGCGAAGGAAACAAAGGCGATTGGTAAGCTGTTATCGCCATTTTGTAGGCGTGTTTTGTAAAATTGAAAGGGTAGGGAGGGGTTCAGGAGAGATAGCGGTAGGGCATTCGGTTTTATACTACAAGAGCATACAAAGTGAAGTGTTCTTCGGATACTAAATTTTTGTGGTAGGTTCCTCTGATGAAAGCAAACAAAATGGGCGTGCGAAAAATCGTACTGCGCATGCCCAATAGTAAATTTTGTTATATATCGAGCAATTGAATCGACATTTTTATGGTAGGTTCCTATAAAATAAGTAAATGTAAATGAAGTTTCTAAAAATCGTACTGTTAGCGAAGCATTTTTACTAACCCATACGATGAGATTGACTAAAAAAGAGATATATTGGTGCTTTTTTGAGCCGAATCAAGTTTCTTTTCGCCTTTTCCGTCTTTTACAATCTTCCAACGACACTAAAAACAACCCCAACGATCGACATTCCCATAACAATCAAGCAAAATTACAATAATAAACGGCGATTGCTAATAAAAATGCGGTGAACTGGTTATAAACAATATATAGCCCAGGGTTGTATGCCATTAAAGGATGAGTTTTGTGCGACAGTCACGTGTTCTGTTAAGATTTATAGCTCTTCCTTACAGCCAATGAAAGGTATGTAATTACAGGCAGAATAATTA